TCACATTTTCCCCAAAGTTCTTAAGCACAAAAAGTCCTAGGAGAATCTTTCAGATTGTTTAATATTGTTTCTATAGTAGTGCTTTATTGTATTATATAATCCGAATTTGGAATTTTTATGAGAGAGGGCTGATGAAAATTGATGGCATGATTACCCCCCACATGCCACTGTTCTGAATTTTTAATTTCATACCACGCATTCCACCAGCGTAATTACGGCCATTCCACTCTGGCAGCCTTGTGTCCGTCGGGGCGGAGGCCCTGGCTTGGGGAGAGGAGCCGCGGGCCGCGGCGCTCTGGGAAGGATCTGGGAAGGATGCGCCTGCTCCGGGGAGTGCTTGGAGGCCGCGGGGCGGGAGACCGCGGGGCCAGCGGGGAGCGCGGGACCTGCGCACGGGTGCCGCGATTGTCTGTGTGCGCAGAGGCTGGGGGCCGCCGCTCCCTAGTATGCAGAGCTACTTCAGCAGGGCTGCGGGATGTGGCGGCTGAACGCTGGGGTTGGAGGTCTGCATTTGAGCAACCATGGTCATCCTTTGAGGCCTAAAGAATAAAGCCCTTTACAGTCGCTGGGCGTGGTGGCGCACGCCTGTAATCCCAGCACTCGGGAGGCTGAGGCAGGTGGATCATTGCGAGTTCGAGACCAGCCTGGGCTACCAAGTGGGCCAGCCTGAACTGCATAGTGAGACCCTGTCTCAAAAAAAAAAAAAGAAAGAAAGAAAGAAAGAAAAAAAAAAAATGTTAAGGAAGGCCGGGGTTATAGCTCAGGGGCACCTGCCTGCCTGGCAAGCTCCAGGTCCCCAGTTTGATTCCCGGTACCAAACCAAACAAAACTTTTTTCAAAAGCGCTATGGCCGGAATGTGCACCTCGCCGCGCTGGGGTCCTCGGCGCAGCAGTGGTGGGGTGGAGCCTACAAGTGGGCTGGGGGCCCTGCACCCCCGGGGCCTGTCCTCAGGAGGGCTCAGTGGCTTTCCGGTGACCCCGAGTTCTTCCCGGCCAGAGTGAGTCCGGATGGAAGCCTGAGGCCGAGTCCTGAGTCACTCCGGCTTTCGGCTGCAATGCCCCTGCCTCGGGCGGTTTCCTACAGTGACAGAACGTGGACTCATACAAGCTCCACCAACAAATAGGAGCCTTGGCCAGGGAGGTGAAGGCCTGCGTAGTGACAAGAGCGCAGCACTCCTGAGAGAGTCCTGGGACGCACGGGAGCGCGGAGACACGCTTTGTGGAGGAGCGGAGTCTTCACTTCGCAGACCGCCGTTCTCGCTAGTCCATCTGCGGGTTCAGTGCAGTTGCAATAGAAAACGCTCAGAAGTTATTTCCTTGACATTGCCCAACAGATTTCATAGTTTCTATGGAGAGGGGCAAGATCCAGAATAACCAGCACAGGGCTGGGGATTTAGCTCAGCGGCGCAGCGTCTGCTTCGCAAGCGTGAGGTCGTGAGTTCGATTCCTGGTACCGGAAGAAAAACAAAAAAGAAACAAAAACCCCAAACCAGAATAACCAGCACGATTTTGAAGGAGAATAAAGACGACAGACACTGTGTGCTCGGGTAGATTGCAAGAGCCCGGAGGCCAGAGACCATGGAATGTTCCCAACCCTATCTGTGCTACCTTCTTTCCTATACATACTGCCCGTGAGAAAATTTAATTACAAGCTGGGCGCGGTGGTGCACATCTGTAGTCCCAGCACTTGGGAGGCTGAGGCAGGAGGATTGCTGTGAGTTTGAGGCCAGCCTGGGCTATACAGTGAGTTTGAGGCCAGCCTGAACTGCGTAGCAAAACCCTATCTCAAGAAGACAAAAAAAATTACAAAGTAGTTACAGTTAGAGATTGACAACAACACTAAATAATAAATAGGATAATTAGCTGGGTCAGGTGGCAGTGAGCGCATGCCTGTAATCCCAGCACTTGAGAGGCTGAGGCAGGACAATCACCACAAATTTGAGGCCACCCTGAGCTACATAGTGAGTTGAAGACTAGTCTGAACTACATAATGAGATCCTGTCTCAAAAAGCCAAAACAAGTCAATAAAACAACCCTAACAGTATACTTAATAAAAAGTTCAGTGAATGTGATCTCTCAAAATAGCTTACTGTACGACAGCGCCCCCTTCTGGTGGCCGTGCGCGGTGCTGGATGGAGCGGGAGTAAGGTAGGCAGGGAGACAGCGCCGGCTGCAAGGGTTGGCTTGGCCCCAGGCGCTGCCTCGCTGCTGTCTGCTCACCCCGAGAGCAGCTGTCTGGGGGCTCCGACAGGCGGCGCGGAAGCGGCTAGCAAGTGGGTAGTGCAGCTGGAGCGGTGTTTTCCCAACAAAGGGTGCTGGGCAACTGGAGAGCCACATCAAAAAAAAGAAAAAACAGAGTCCAGCCAGAGCTGACGTCCTTCACAGACTCTACCCCGGAGTAGATCACAGAGACGTGGAAAACACAGAAGTGGAAAGCTCCTTAGGGCCGGGGATACAGCTCAGCGGCATAAGCGCCTGCCTGGCAAAGCGCAAGGTCCTGAGTTCGATTTCCGGTGCAAGCAAACGAACGAACAGAACTCCTGGGAGGTAACATAGGAAAAGCTAGATGGCCACGGGTTTGGAGTTGACTTTTTATTTATTTATTAATTATTTATTTATTTATTTATTTTTCCGGCACCGGGAATCGAACTCACGACCTTACACTTGCCAGGCAGGCGCTGTGCCGCTGAGCTAAATCCCCAGGCCCTGGAGTTGACTTTTTAGATATGACGGAAGGCACAGCCCCTGGAAGAAAGAACGGCAAGCTGGACTTCTGAAAGTCCTGCTATGAAAGACACTGTCGAGAGAATGAATTGCCAGCATGTGGGGGCGGTGCTGGGGATTTAGCTCAGCGGCACAGCACTGGCCTGGCAAGTTCAAGGTCGTGAGTTCGATTCCTGGTACTGGAAGAAAAACAAAAACAAACCAGGAGAGAGAGAGAAAGAGAGAGAGAGAGGACACAGGCTAGGGTACAGTATTTGCAAAGGACGTATCAGTAAGGACCGTTACTCAGAGTATACCAGGAAGTTCTCAAGGACGCAGTAGTAACACAACCGCCCTAATAAAAACTCAGCCAAAGACCGTGCAGACACCCCCCTGAAGAAGACGCACAGGGCGGGGGACGTGGCCCAGCAGACAGCGCTTGCCTGGCATGCCCGAGGCGCTGGGTTTGACCCCGTGCTGCGGGCACACGCACACACACGCGCGCGCACACACACACACACGCACTCCACCGCGCGGGGGGCACGGCAGCGAGCGAGCGTCGCCCGCGGCTCGCAGCCGCCGTGGAAGCCAGTCCGCGCGTTTCCCGCAAATCTAAGCGGAGCCGCAGCGTGAGGTCCCGCCAGCGCCCTCGGCGGCTGGGGAAGCGAGCGGAGCCGCTCCCTCGGCGGAAACGCACGCGAGGGCCGGCGCAGCGGCGCCGCGCGGGGCAGGAGG